GCTCGGGGCGCTCCCCGCTAGCGTGGGGAGAGCCACCCACCCCGAGTCGCCCTGCGAGCAGCACCTCCGGTGCCCCTGGGGCTCCGACAGCGGTGCTGCAGTGCCAAGCCACACCGGTATCTAAAGAAGCCTTGGGGTTGTTCTTTCCCCAAGCTCCACGTGCAGCCTTGGCCGCGAGTGGGAAGCATTGCTCCCCGCTCCGCCCCCGAGCCTGTAAACGCTGTGGGGAGAACTGCTTGCAGACATGAAAACCTGGGTGTTGTGTCGCGTGCCTTCGGGCAGGTGACGTTTTAATTACACAGGGAACCCGTTGTTTCTCTGAGCTGCTGAAAGATAAAGCTGATTTCCTTTTCTTTTTCCAAAAGAAAGAAGTTTTGGTATGACAGCCCTACCCTGGGATCTAAAATGGTAAGTGCAAGCTTTGAAGGTGCTGTGTTTATCTCTGCCCCGGGGAACAAGCTTGTGCTTCGGCCATTGTGTCTAACTTTGGGAAAGGCATTTCCTGGTGGAGAAATAGCAGAATTTTGTGAATGAACACTAGAGCTCCGGTTTCACTATGACATGCCAGGATTGCTGTCGAGAGAAGCCGTTCGGCTCCCCATGGCCATTTCCTCTTCTGTGCTGATCTTTCATCCGTGCCAGCACCAACACTCTCCTGCACGTTCTTGAGCCCATAGCAGAGAACTGATCCAGATCAAAACTTCTGTATACCAGCTTAGTTTTACTTTTATGGAAAACAAGTTTTCGTGTTTGTTTTTCAAACAAGCAATGCTTTTCAGTTCATACATGCTGTACTTTAGAAAACTGTTTTATTGAGCTGTGTAACTTGCTGCAAAATAATAAAGAAACCAAGAAACCTTGACTGTAATACATGAAGGTCAAAGATTTTGTGAACAGAAATACTCTTTATTGAAAAACCTGAAACAAGACCTACATATAGCCATCACAGCTTCAGTAATGGCATTCTAAGAGCATACTTAGTAGAGTGCATGAAACCGTATATAATTGCCTAATACAAGTTTGTAACTACTGATTAATGTGGTGGTGTTTTTTTTTTTTTTTAAAGATGTATAAACCAACCAAATTGGGCTCTGTAATGAAAGATGACCAGACAAAAACTAGAAAAGAAGATAACATACGCTGCAGAGTCTTGAATAGTCTTATTCATAAAACTGTGGCAGAGATGATGACTACCTGTGAAGTTAGTCAAGAACTTTATGATCTCAAGCTGGAAATCTGCAAGGCAAGTGTCAAAGCTACAGCTTGTGTTGAGCCGCTCTGACTACGCCTTGAGGTCGGCATGGCGCGCCAAAGGAGCTTCCCTGGGTGTTGTGATGTGTGCAGGAGTTTTACTGCATTGCTTCTGATGCGGCACAGCACAGCAGGATGAGGCTCTGGATTCACTTTGCACACTAGGAGAACTTTGCTACTGTTGTACCTGGCTTAATAGACCTTTGCCACTATAATGCAAATGCAACTTAGGCCAACTAAATGGTGATTCTCCTGGTATGGCTTTTTTTTTCTGTTACTTAGACATGTGCTATTTGCCTTGCCCTTTCAGAAGGAGGAGCCTGGTTTTACCAACATTAAGTGTATCTTTCCAAGAGTCTTTTCTTCGTGCAGCTGTGTGAGAGTTGATACCTTCTTGTGTCCCTTGCCAGCATCATTACACAGGCAGAAGACCTAAGTGGGGCATAAGCTTAGTTCAAAAAAAAGGCAAGCCTAAGAAAATGGCATTGGCAAGCAAGGTTCCAGAAAAAATTGGAATTTGTACCTGATTGTAGCTAGTGTTGGCATAATTCATGGGTTTAAAAGGGATGTTAAAGCTCTGATTCAGGAACTAAGTCAGTCTCCACATTCTTGTTTCTTGTCTGTAGTTTTTTCTTCTACATTTGCTGTTTTGTTAAGATTAAATGATACCAATGTTTGGCTTAAAAGCTTGCGGGACTTAGCTTTGTTAGTTAGATGCCTGGAAAAAAAATTGCACCTCATAGCTGCATCTATGACAAGGGGTTTGTCATTTATGATTGAAACATGTTTTTGCCAGCTGAATTCATTCTGTCTGCAGGCAAGTGATTAAAATTACATGGGCAAGATTAATCTTTTGGCTCTATATGTGCAGTATCCTTCATACAGTATTTCTCTCTCTCTAGGGCTTTAAGGATTGCTTGTCATGTCTGCACGTAAAAATACTGGGTGGTGTAGGCAAGCCACAGCACTTTCAGGAGGCATTGCTGTAAATGAAACAACTTATAACACGGGAGAGGGAAAGAAACAGCCTTCTTCCAAATACAGTACAGGTTTTATTATAACTGCGTAGTGCTTAGTGTTCCTGCTGCATTGGGACGTGGCTGAGACTCAGTCCTGATTTACTCTTGAGCTGATTCTGGTCCAATATTGTTACTTCCATTATCAAAAGAAATCTAGTAGGCTTTCTGCAATCCACCAGAATTTGGTTTTTTTTGTATCAAAAGTTAAAATTACATAATACAGATAAGAATTACGCTTCAGGCTTGGTACATCAAACTTTTACCCACTCGATAACATTACTCATGTGATGATGAAGAAATGGCTTGTGTTAGATAGGGTTGTTTATGTGCTTACATTAGACTCAGTGTGGGAGATGGGGAGGGTTGATCCTGCAGTACAAACAGCCAGTTAATGATCACTGTGGGTTTTTTTTTAATGAGCGATGGGTTTCCCGAGGCAGGAGTTATTTGATGGTGGAAAAAATCAGTATCTACTTTTTGGGTTTTGGGGACAGTCCATTCTGCCCTAGGAAAGAGTAGCACTGTCAACAGCAGACTGTGATGCAGTTTTCACTCCTGGGAATACCGTGAAGGAGTTGTCTTTTCCTGCTAATGTCTGTAGACACCGATTTGTTTGAAGAGTTGGTTTCTGGACTAGATGACCTTTGAACTGTGCCTTCTAATCAGTAGCTTATGCCTTCTCTTCCCTCTTCCTCAGCTCCTTCCTTTGGTTGAGCCGGATAGGTTTATTAGAAGTTTGCTGAATGTACTCTCATAGTGAGAGCCTGTTCTGTAAGATGCTGCTAGATGCGAGGAATGACAGTTATAGAAATCTTTCAGAGTCCAATTTGTGTTTCAGAAGTTTATTCTTCAGAAAGACTGTCAGTCTGTCTCATGTGTGCTTGGGCCCCTGCACCCCATGCGTTTCCAATTGCATGCATGACAGCTGTGAATATTCTCTGTTAGTGAGCTAGAACACTGGAGCCTCCCAGCAGGCTTTAGAGCTAGAGAGACTCTTGCATTACAGTGGCATGGAGGGTGTCCTCTTCTCTGTCAATATCAAAACCAAACTCTGGGTGACAGCAAACCAGGCAGTGTCACAGGTCCTTCTTCAGCGGAAACTTACACTTTCAACTGTATTCCAAAACAGCATGCTATAAATTGTCATTCTGGACTATTTGTGGTGGTAGCACCGTCGCATTGACTAAATGTAGCACTGTCAGTAGCATACAGGTGTTGACAGACTTCTCCCCTGTTTAATTTCAGTTGAAGGGGAGGTTAGGCAGTGACTTGCCTAAATAAAAAAGTCCTTTCAAGTACTGAATGTAAATCTTACTTGGTTTTAAACTCTACCTCTATAAAGACACCATGTAATTTTGATGCTTAAGAGCAGAGATGGAAGAAGAGATTCTCCTAAGAATTTACATATCCAGTTTGGGTCACTGTATGCTTATTCATGAATTAGAGACTTAGTTGTATATGAAGTGTGTGTATATATATAATTTTAAAGAAATGTTTGTCTTTTTGCAGGTATCCCTGGCATCAAACTTTTCAGCGTGTCGTGTGTACTGGAATCCTGCTACTACTATGGAGAAAGAAAGTTATGTTGAAAGTGTACTGCGGAAGAGTGCTCCACGTATACGGTACTGCTATGGGATAAATAGTTAGACCACTGCATAAATTCATAGCCATACTAGTACCATTTCTTAAGTATTTCTAACAATTTATGTCTGCCCTGTTAGGTTGCTTTAGGTTTTTAGATATTTGGAGTCAGAGCACCTCCTGCGATGAGCCTAACAGGGAAGGGCGACTGTATCAGACCAGCTGTATTCTCCCGCTGGAGCACAGCTGGCTTATTTGGCTTCTGTGCTTTCCTAGGATTGGACCGGGCTGAGCAGAAAGAAAGAGGAGTTTGGATGAAGTTTCACTTCATTGTACTAGCGATGGTGGGCTGGACATGCTGTGCATGACAGTAGGCCAGAATATGATGCTGCTCGAGAGGGCTGGCAATTACAACAAGCATCTCCTTACAGATTCACTGGGCAATTCTGATCGCTAGAGACAATTTGGACCTCTAGAAGGGATGACTGATATTACAGAAATTCTTCACAATGCTGATACCAAAAAAAAATGTTGGGATGCTTTTGCCCATTTTTGGCAGAGGGTCCAGTGAGTTTTCAGGATGTCGTAGAGATTTTTGTCTCTCCCTCTTTCCTGGGCTTATCCTCTACTATCCAGCCAGTCTGTTGGAGGATCAGGACTTCACCCCATGGGGAAGGTGACGTTGAAGCATACTTGTAGAGCCATTTCCTTTCTCCCTGTTTCCCTAGGCTGTGTAATTCCTGCTCCAGCACAATGCTCTCTTCTACTCCCAACAGCTTCCACTCTTTGAGAAGGAATGTTGCTGGCTGGGAAGAAAACGAGGGGAGCCCTATCAGTCCTTCTTGCAGCTAACGTGTAGGACTAGTTGTCTTGCCCTGCTGTGAGGGCTCTGTCCTCTACTGCTCTCACCCCTACAGTGGGGATAAGGAAGCCAAATGAGAGGGGAAAGACCTGCACCAGCTTATGCATATAGGAGACAAATATCATATCATCAATACTCAGTGGGATCTGGAGCTAGTAGTTTTTGTATGTTACACATTTAGAGTTGGGATTCTGCAGTGATGTATTGCTTAGCAGTAACCTGAATGGATACCAATCAGACTGTAAGTTTTGCAAACCATATCCTTAAATTTGCAGTACTGCTGGAATTAATTTCACATATTTTATCTGTCCTGGAGGTGCTGTACTGTTACTCATACAGGTGAATGCTGTATTTTTGCCAGGTATCTTCTGACGAGTCAGCAGATTATAGGAAATGTACCCCCAATAGTATTTGTAAAAGACAAAGAAGCTGCAGCTGTAAAAGAGGTAATTGTAGTCTTTGACTCAATGTACAAATATAATGATACACAAACATGGTGACTTAGCATACTGTAATGCTTAGGAATATGGAGAGAGCTGATCATTCAGTTGCTCTACCAATCTACATTAAAAATCAGTCTTTGTCTATACCCATTCCTCTTCATGTTCCAAAGCATTTTAGCAAAGAGTCTCAAGTAAGACTGATGCTTATATACAACGTAAAAGAATCCTTGTAGCTATCACCTCATGAACTTTTTTTGATGCTACTATTAAAATTTCTGAAGTGAAGTTTTCAGAGAAGCTTGTAGGCCAGATCATTAGGCCAATAAAGAAATCCTAAAAAATGAAATTACAATTTTAAGGAATAATATAGGGTAGGCAGTTGTCTGTTGCCTGGTATACGTGATTATAGAAATGAGGCCTGAGGACCTGTCTTCCACATTTTAAATGTTATGTGTTTTTAAAATGCCATTGAATCTAATCAGTGATTTTCAATTTTTTTTTTACCCCAACCTTTTTCCATCTGTGAATTGTTAAAATGTTTCTAGGGAAGTGCAGATCTTGGCATAGAGGATGTAAGCTCACTCATACTACTTTTTTTTTCACATTTAAAATTATCTTTACTATTTCACATTTTCTGTCAAGGTGTTGATAGTTTTAACTAGTTGAAATATTGCTACAATAATGATTTCTAGATTTAAAGTTTTCTAGGAATTTGCTTCACAGTCATTGGGACTGTGAAGTGAGATGTCTTAAATAGTGAGATTTCCGGAGGAGAAAGATGACACCAGTGAGTGGAATTTCTTGAAAAATGTCTCCTCAAGCTGTTGATGTGAATGGAAAAACATCAGTTGAAAAGAGCATGTTCACATTTCTGTGCCCTGAGGTGCCTTAGATGTGTTACTATTACAACCAATTACTATTAGTCACTTACGGGCTCATGCGGTGTGTATTAGCAGAGCTGGAAGAGATAACAAGAACTTCAGACTCTCTAGAAACGCAGTGAATTGCTTGAACTTTCTGTGGTCAGAAAATTCTGAGTTTCATGCCAATATACTGATCCACAGTGCAAATGTTTTTCACCTGCGTTAGCATCAACAAAAAGCACAAGAATAGAAATGAACTAAGCACTTAGGAAAGCTGTTCATATTCATTATTATGCTCCCCCTAATCAACACAAGAAATTCTACACAACAAGTAACAAGTGATTATGGAAGCACTTTGTCATTACTATTACTCTGTTATTAACATACCTAGATGGAACTACAAATACCTACTCCTGCAGGTCCTGCCTTTCAGATCTGTTATTGTGGAACCTGTTCCATTAATCACTGTTTCTCAAACTTTGTTAAATGACAACTTACTTTTTTTGAAGAAGAAAACCCCTGGACTACCTTACCTTCAAGTTCAGTGCATAGGCACACAAGACAAGTAAAAACCCTCCTTGTATAGCTTCTGTCAGTGAATGGCACTGGGAAGCACTTAGAGGGATCATCTTTTCACACTTTGCAGATCATGAGATTTATGTAATCCACAAATTTGAGTAACAGGGCGTGAAATAACGTAGCTGAACCTGATTCTTAAGTATTGGAAGACAGGGAAGGACCGTCCAATTCAACTCCTAGAATAATACGACGAATTAGGAGGGAAGTAATGTAAGGAAAAGTAGGAATAAAAATTTCAAATGAGATACGATTTTCACAATTAGGTGCAGTCTATAAGCACTGGATATACTAGATTTGTAGCATTTAGGGTTAGGTGCCATGTTAAAAGGGAGTTGGGAACTCACTATTTACATGCAATAGAAATACAAACTTGCAGAAAGGGGGAAGAGGTGAAAAAAATCCCAGTGTAAGGATGTTATGAAAAAGGATTTGCAAGACTGAAGTAAGACCAAATAAACCAAAAATTATATATGTCACACAATCCCTAGCCAACTGTTCGGAATGTACATAAGGCAAAAAACTTTTGTAGGAATCCCTGGATCAGTTATGCTATTTGACACAAAATTCCCAGGCAAGAAGTATAAGCAGGTCCATGTAAATGGAGGAAACGGCTATTTTGAAATGGTTTTGCCAAATATTCCAAACATGTAGAAAATAAATATTTGCTGTTTGATATTTGTCCATTTCTTGTGTAGGTGTGAACAAAGTAAATTTAATACAAGGCCTTTACAATACAATATGTATTGTCTTCATGTGTTTACAGATTGAGGAATTATTGTCAATTGCTGATTTTGGACCTCCAGAAGAAATAGAAACACTATCTCAAAATGATTCTAGGTGGGTTTTTTGAATCAGGATTGTACAAGTGTCTGTTTTCATCTCTGTTGGTCAACTTAAATTGGGTAGCATTTGACATGACAGAAAGTATATTTTAATTAAATGTGTACATTGTTGTTATCTCAGAGGTCAGCAAATGGTGTTATGAGGAAATAGTAGAGGAGAGACTTTTTGGAAGGCCAAAAAGGCATCTCAGCTTTTAAAGAGATCATTTGGGCCCTTTTATTAACAGAAGAGGCTACAGAATAGCCTAGGACAAAACTAGTATGTAATCATCCCAGAAATTAAATGTAGAGGACTGCATTTTATTTTGTGGCTTAAGGTTTCTTTACCAATGTTACACCCATTTATTAAAATTAAGGGAAAATATTTCTTATTATATATGCTCTGGTTTATTTCCATATTTTAGTGCAGACACATTTTCATAGGCTATTTTGTTGTTGGTTCTTGTGCACAGGTACCTTGCTGCAGACCACAGGTTTGCAAACATGGAAAGGGAAAGTCTATTTTTTATATATAAGTGGACCTCTGTTAAGCTGTGGAGAATGACTGAATTGTCACTTGTAACAAGATAGTGTATATGCTTTCAAAGGCAACTAACCCATAAAGTGATATCAAAACAGAGTCTTTGAAATCAGCTGTGTTTGATGTCCACACTGTGAGTGACATAGTCATCAGACTTGTTACTTGCAGACCCAATAGTTGTTCTGGTATTAGTATCTTTACTTCTATGAGGGAAATATTTTTAGAATTTCTAAGAATCCGAGACTCAATGTGTTTGTGATAATTAAATTTAAAAAAATGCTTTGCAGCAGTAATATTTATTTCTTGCTGGTAATTTTCTCATGAGGATAAAAGCTCTACATTTACCAGTACTCCTCTGCTTGGCCACTTTTTTCTGGTATAAGTTTGGATTGTTATATGTGAGTACAAGTTTACTGATAAATCTCCCTAAGTTAACCAAAAGTAAGTTAATTTAGCATTCTTCTGTGAGGGATTTTTGGCTATTGAGGGATAGGGCTGAACAATCTATTGGAATAATGATTCTGTGGACTGGATGCTCTCAAAGCCAGCCGCCTTGCATTTGTATGCTGCAGCCTGGTGGAAATGCCTTTTGTGCCTTAACAGGACAGTTCATCAGGTGCAAATCAGAAATAGCTTCTTGGGGGAAATCACTGTTGTGACAGGCTGTCCCACAGGGCACCTAACATCGTCCTCTGTTTGTGTCTTGTGGAAATACTTAAGTCCAGATTAAGGTGCCATATGCTATCTTTCATACTCCTGTCTGATGTGTTCTGGGCACAGGCTGCTGCTTCTTACTTCTTGGAAAAGCTGGGAGAGGTGTAACTTCCTTGGGGCTCCCAGGTCCAGTGCTCACTGTTACATATGCACACCTTTTCCCAGAAGCAAGCAGTTTCATCGGGAATGTAGTTGCTTTATTGGCTTCCTCCCATTAAATCTGTTGATACACTGACAGGCTTATAGACAGCCTGTCCTTGAACACACAGTATGGTGAGTATGGTGGTATCTCTTCCTTCTTAACATAGGGAGCACAATGCTGAACACAGTGCATTAATAAACTCAAACTGAAAACTCCAGTTTATTTCTATGTTACTCAAGTTGTCACAATTAGCATTGCCCCTTAAACTATACACAGGGAAAAAAACCCACAACATTTGTTTTCCTTTCCACAGTAAACTGTCCTCTTCAGCAAGTCAATCTTCAGATTTACCCATGCGGTCTAATCTTTTTGGTATTGATCATGAACTGCTGAATAAGCAGATAATGGACTACAAAAGACTGAAAGTGTCAAGAGATATGGAAAACATTGCCTGGACAGAAAAGCAGGAGCAGCAGCTTTCCAAGATTCAAAAGAAAAGGAAAAAGAAAAAACCAAGGAATCTTCCTGATGACGACATTACACCACAGAAATACTTACTGGACAGATACGAAGCTGATTACTGGGATGATAACACCGAATCAGTCTTGGACTATGAGCTGGACGATGAATTACAGGAAGAGGTGAACGAATTGGAGGTGGATGATGGCAAAACTCTAAGTCAGCCTACTGATAAACTGAAATGAAGAAGCCACTCCCTTTAAAATGGAGGCTGCCAATAGCAAAAAAAAGACTGCCATAGATACTGAAAGAGTAGTTTTGTACAGCCTGTTTACCACTTCCTCTTTCAAACTAATAGCTTTGCCACCCATGGGGAGGTTAGCTAGCACAAGGTATGTAAGAAAGACAAAAATGCTATTTGTGACATTCTGTTAAGCAGCTTTCAAGCTGCTGCAGTTGTAGGACTTCCAACCAGAGAGCAGTTTTGTAATAACAAAATATACATAGTGCAGTACTGAGTTAAAGCTTCTTGCAGTTCTGTTATTTCCAATAAAATTGTGGTTTCTGTGTTGAAATAAAATGTCATCTTTTTTTTTTTTTTTTGAGTGATCTGGTTAAAAATAGTCACAAAGTGATGGTGTCTGTTATTCTAAGATCAGGAAAGAAGAGGGAAACAAAATAATTACAGTGGCATTCAAAGAGCTGCCTTCAGCACACAAAGACCAGGACAGGGTATTCTCTAGAGGACCTAGTCTAATGGGGGAACTCTTTCCACAAGAAGGTGAAACTCATTGAAATTATGGCCAATAAAGTTACAACCCTGAAAGAAAATAAATTTATTTATTTTATTATTCAGACATTCACAGTTGTGCAAGGGGAACTGCAACCAGAAAAGAATGGAGAACTGCTCATCTGTTGGGTAAAATTGGGCAAAGCATTGACTGAGACAAAAAATGTATTAAAAACTCAAAGGTGGAGAAAAAGCAGCAGGGAAGAATACCCCAGTAACTGTTTGAGATTTGGAAATGGGTGGGGAATCATACAAAAAGTGAGAATAAAGCTTTCTGGCTCAATGGAAGTAAAAAATAATAGCATGAGTGTATAAAGTCAGAAGGGCTGGAGCTTCAAAATATAACTAACAAGGTAGTAAAAAGGAATTTTACCAGAAATAAGGATCATTTAATTCCCTTAGTTAACGGGGAAGTAAAGAAAGACAATATAGGGGAGGTTGCACTACAGTATGTTGCTCTAGTTTTTAAAAAAGATTTAAAAGACAGGAACTGTAAGCTCCAGAATGTAAAAAATAGTCTAAAGGATTTTTAGGTTGAAGGGAGGAGTTCAGGTCAGCAGAGAACACTGAAATTCACTGTAGGTTATTTAATAATCTCCTTGAAACATATTCTGAAGATTGGTTGCCTGTAAGAATATGGAGAAGATATGGGCTATGAATGTCCATAGGATATTCCTATAAGCTGTTTAGAGCTTGTATTGAATAAGGGTCAGGATCTTATAAATGTATGCATCATTTTTATTAGGATACAGGTTGAAGCTGTAACTCACATTAGTACTTGCCTAGCTTGAAGCAGGTGAATAATTCCACAAATTTCAGCATGCCTTGCTCGGGCTTTCCAGGAGTTCTTCCTAAATCTCACGGGATGGACACGCTTTGAAGTAGATGCTTTAGTTTGTTTTTCAGTGAGTGAATGTATTAATCGTATCAGAAACTGTTCATGTGCAGTATCACTGTCAATCAAAGCTAGCCATGAATTTGTTGCAACTTGGCAACAAAGCTCTTAACTTTTTGAATGAACAACAGGAACCTGTTAATTGGTACTTGCTAAATGAATCCACAGAATGCTAATGTCTCCATCTTTAGTTTCTGCTGTATAAAATGTGGTACTGTCCTGACTTTACCTAAATGTTAAAAAAAAGGAAAAAACCAACAACACCCAAACAACCTAGGCTTTTGAAAGAACAAAGAGATGTTGTGGTTGAACCCAGCAGGGAACTAAAAACGACACAGCCGATGGCTCACTCCCCCCGTAGTGGGATGGGGGAGAGGATAGAAAAAAAAAGGTAAAACTTTTGGGTTGAGATAAAGACAATTTAATAGGACAGAAAAGAAAGGGAAAATAATAATAATGATAAAAGAATATACAAAACAAGTGATGCACAATGCAATTGCTCACCACCCAATGCCCAGCCAGTTCCTGAGCAGCGGACCCCCGAGCAGCGGACCCCCGGCCAGCTTTTCCCCTAGTTTATACACTGAGCATGACGTCATATGGTCTGGACGTTGGTCAGTTGGGGTCAGCTGTCCCAGCTGTGTCCCCTCCCAACTTCTTGTGCACCCCCAGCCTACTCGCTGGTGGGTGGTGTGAGAAGCAGAAAAGGCCTTGACTCTGCCTAAGCACTGCTCAGCAGCAACTAAAACATCCCTGTGTTATCAACATTATTCTCATCCTAAATCCAAAACACAGCACTATACCAGCTACTAGGAAGAAAATTAACTCTATCCCAGCCAAAACCAGGACAGAGAACAAAGTTGATTATCTCTGCTGCTTGTTTATTTTGGACGTCTATAAACTCGGTTTGCAGTTCATAGATTAGATTTCATCTAAAAACAACCGAAACCATTCTCACTGTCAGCCCTAACACCTTTACTCCCTTGTTAAGCAAGTGAGGGCAGTTGACCTCTTCTGCTTGCCACAGCTAACGTCACAGAAACCGGGCTTTGTTCAAGAAGAGAGGTGGCCTAGCATTTACTCAGGGTGTCCAGGGATGGGACAACCATTCTGAACCTGGTGATGAGGAAAATGAAGCAAAAGCAACCAGATTTAGAAGAGATGGAAATCTTAAAAACGACCAGGTGGGATGGACTGGAAGGAGGAAGTGGCCCAAGGGATATCTGGAGAAGGGCACAAGAGCAGGTGGGTGGGAGCAGCCCCGGCGCCGGCTCCCCCCGATTAGTGCTCTGCCCCAGTGTCCGCTGGCGTCCCAGGGAAGCAGGGTGGGAAGTTTTCTCTGCTGTGCTAGCAGTGTAAGAGTCACCTCAAGACTTTTACAGCTGTAAAAGACAATAAATGAATGTTACACTCTATCTGAGCAATATGAACTATAATTACTTGCAGAATCCCTTGATTTAGTTTTTATGTATTATATAACCACAGATGGGGAAGAACTTCTGGGGCTTTCAGACCTGGTCCCCTACCTTTAATGGCAGCCACTTGCTGCTGTCCTGTATTCAGCTGTTAATCCTGGTTAGGAATATGCGGCTGGGAGTAATTGTTATTTAGCATTGGCAGAATCAGACATGCGGCTGAATTTAAGCGATTGGTGCCCCTGTGAGCATGTGCTACACCACCCGTGTTTGAATCAATGTGACTAGTCAATGACAGTTTTAAAAAACACAAGAGCTTTCATTGCTTCCTATGACTGTCAATCCATCCAAACCTTCCCAAACATTCTGGGACCCTACAAGTGTATTGTTCAGATCTAAGTTTCAGACTGAAAGCAAAGAAATACCTCAGTTATCCCTCCAATGTGGTTATTTTCCTGAAGACCTGGTCCCATAAGGTGCTGATTTTGAAGGGGAAATGAGGGCATATAGGTCCTCTGCTTCATTTTAGCCAAATCATCAGTTTGATTTCTCTGACCCCTCTAAGACCTTGCCGTGAAAGTGTTTATGCATTTTGTGTCTTTCCAAAACAGAAGTGTCTCTCCAGCAGAATTGCTAGTAACATTGCTGTGCTGCAGACAGGCTGACAGCGAGAAGTTTACTAACCCTTTCCAAAACATGTAACTCAAGGAGAGTGACAGTCTTCTTACTCATGTGAGTCAGAAAAGCCACTGACAAAAATGGCATCATGCTAGGGAAATTAGAAAACCAAGATGCACATCTCACCAAAATCTTCTGTCCAAGGAATTACTTGTCATGAAAGCCAATGTACCCTTAAGCCTTGCTTGCGTATGTAAAGCCAAGAAATATAGAATAAGAGCTCAGCAAAGAGAAAGAAATCAGTATATTTCCCAATACTTTGCCATTTTGTCCAATATCTAAATCTGCAAGAGGACAGTGAAGACAAAAAAGTTTAGTTTTAAAGATTTCAAAGCTCTATAGAAAGTGCCCTATCAAACCAGAAGAAAATCTTCATTAACTAGGAATAATGAGTTGCATATGTGTTTTCCTTGCATTCAATCACTGCTGATAGCACATTGCTGCGCTACACTCTTACTTTAAAATCTATTATGGTGAAAGACCAGTCATTCTCATAAACACCTAACCAACAAAGCATCACACTTCAAACTGTAAGAATAAAAATGCAGAAGTTTGTCTATGGTGGTAATTATTTTTTACTTCTTTTGGTAGTGTGTTCTTCAGGTAGTCCATCTTATCTGGTGGGCTTTGCTCAAACTTACTGGAAAACAAATTCTAATGGAGAACACTTGTAGTTAATTTCAGTTAATTACTCTCTCTCTGGCTCCAGGAATAGGTAAGGAAAGCAAGAGAGAGAAAACAAAGCCATGGGAATGGGCATAGAAAAATGGCAGTGCTACAGCAGATGTGTTGAGATCTGTGGTGTCTTGTAAAGGAGACAAGTTCTGTGGCTGGGATCCATGCGCTGTCACAGTTTTCAGCAAGTCACCTGGGACAACCTGGCATCGTTTCAAGTGATGATTATATTATTCTGCATGTTCAAGCAATATTTGTAGCCTTTTGTTGAACCATCTGCATTTGCAAGATTTATAAACTTTTTGTTATTGGTGGTGTGTCAGTGGCTTTCCAAATAAAGCAATGCATATATGTCTGTTCCTGGCTCTCACACTAAAGCCAGAAGTCAGTATTTACTCTCTTTGACATGAGGGTTTCAAGGGTGCTAGGTGCTTGCTTTGGTGCTAGACCGAGAAGTCTGTGAATGTCTCCACTGGTGTGCGTCTTGGGAGAAGGAGGCTTCTCTATTTCTACTATTTACTTCTTCAGTGGAAAACTTTTGCAGCAATCCACAGCTGTGGTTCACAAGACCTTATTAACTTTATTGACATTGCTGATTTGTAATTGAAAATCATCACGTGATTCTGAGGAGAGGCTTCAAACAAACAGTGAGAAAAGAGGAGCTGCTACTGCTGGTCTCTTGGCAGCTTAATACATCTTTGGCTGCAATCAGACCAAAAAGAGTCTCCTAGGAACACAGTGTGGCTCCTGACAAAAGAAAACCCAGTACAACGGAGCTTGGGTTCTTCTCCT